TCCATCCCCATCCTCAATGGCTTCTAGATGGATTTCGAGATGCAATGCAAGCTAGTGGTTTATTTGATATGGGAATGGAAGGGTATGAGTTTACATGGAAGAGGGGACATGGAACTATTGAATGGGTTGAGGAAGACTTGACCGGGTACTGCCTTCGGCAGATGGGATGGATTGCTTTCCCGATTGGAAAGTTGTTAATATCCCTATGATAGCTGCTGACCATTCTCCATTCCTCTTAAAATCCATATCAGCTCACTCAGTAAAGGGCAACCGTCGCTTCCGATTTGAGAACCAATGGTTGGGAGAACCAAAAAGCTTAGCTATTGTTCAACGTTTTTAGCTTTCTCATTCGGAACTTGCGGTGATGGAGAAAATATCTGAATGCGGAAAGACGTTGGCTGAATGAGGTGGAGGATTTTTGAAGGAGAAGCGTTTGAAGATCATTAAATTGAAAAAGTGGATGGAGCAACTTCGAAACAAAACAGACCCAACCTCCATTGCCCAATATGAACGCAGCCTTTATGGAGATGGAAGTTTATTGAAAACAATGATCAAAGCAGTTCTGGCTCTATGGTGGAGATGCCAACTCAAAGTTCTTCCATGCCCAGGCCTCTTCTAGGAATAAGAAGAAACAAATCTCCAAGCTGCGCAACAAAGATGGTGAATGGAGAGAGAAAGGCCAGAGCTGATGGTTAATTATTTTGCAAAACTATTTTCTTCTTCAAGGTGACAGGATTCAGCAGTCTTCTCATGTGTACAACCTGTAGTTTCGGCTTCTCAGAATCAGTTCCTTGGGGAGCGATTTACAGCAAAGTAAAGAAAGTAGTATTCTCCATGGCCTCGGACAAATCCCCTAGACCAGACCGGATGAATCCAGGCTTCTATCAGAAGCATTGGTTCATTACTGGACCCGAGATAATGACGGCTTGCTTGAGTTTTCTTACTGCTGGTTGCTTCCCACTGGCCTAAATGATACCCACATAGCGCTAATTCCAAAGAAGTAATAACCTTTGTCTATAGCAGATCTCCGTCCCATCTCATTGTGCAATGTCCTGTACAAGATCATTACCAAGGTACTTGCTAATCGATTAAAAAAGATCTTTCCTGATATCATCTCTCCATCTCAAAGCGCTTTCATACCGGGGAGATTAATCTTAGATAATATCATGGTGGCTTACGAGATAATCCATAATCTTAAACGGAAGGGTTAAGGGAGTATGGGATTAGTTGCTTTGAAGATTGACATGAACAAGGCCTACGACCACATAGAGTGGGATTTTTTAAGGGGTATGATGCGTCAGTTTGGGTTTATTGTGGGTTAGATTGATATGATCATGCTTTGTGTAACAACAGTCAGATACACAATTTTATTAGACGGCGATGAACTGGGTCCTGTGGTACCAAAGAGAGGATTGAGACAAGGCTGCCCTTTGTCGCCCTATCTGTTTATTATATGTGTGGAGGGCCTTTCTCTTTTGCTCCGGAACAGGGAACATAGAAATTTGATTACTAGGTTCAGTGTAGCTCGAGGTGCTCCTTCGATTAGTCATATGTTCTTTGTAAATGATAGTCTCTTCTTCTTCAATGCCACAGAATCTAATTGTTCTAACTTGAAGGAGTGTTTAACGCTATATGAACATGCCTCAGGCAAAATCATCAATTTTAACGAGTCCTCCATCGCTTTCAGTCCTAATACTATTCAACTGATGAAGGACCGAATTCGGGATGCTCTGCAGGTAGGAGAAATGATTGACCTGGGATTCTACTTGGGTTTACCATCTATGGTAGGGAGAAACAAGAAAGAGGTATTTGCTTTCCTAAAGGATAAAATCTGGAAGCAGATGAACGGGTGGAAAAGAATGTTATTATCTCGGGCTGGCAAAGAAGTGCTCCTGAAGACAGTTGTCCAAGCTTTACCAACATACACAATGAGAGTTTTTTCCATTCCTTTAGGTATGTGTGCCAACTTGCAACGCTTAATGAATGAATTATGGTGGGGGTAATAGTGCAAATGGTTCTCAAGATATTCACTGGCAGCGCTGGGATCTATTTGTTAGCCAAAGGCTTTGGGAGGTATGAATTTTCGAAGCCTGCATGAGTTTAATATTGCCCTTCAGCACCCTACTTCTCTAGTCGCTCGGACTTATGAAGCCCGTTAGTATGCTTTCACCTCGTTTTTTGATGCTAAATTAGGCTCTAACTCTAGTTATACATAGAGCAGTATTTTTAAAGCTATCCAACAAGTGAAGGCTGGAGCTCTTAAACGAGTGGGAACTAGTGAATCTATAGCAATTTGGTCTGACCCATGGCTCCCAGATCTTGTTAATAATCGGTTATGCTTTGTAATGCCTCCTGACTGTGATTATTTTACTGTTAAATCTTTAATTTCCTATGATGGATTGTCTTGGAGAAAGGATGTTATCAACCGATTATTTTCTGAGAGAGATAGAAATTTAATACTGAAGATTCCTCTCAGTGCTGAATGTTTGAGGGATGATAGGATCTGGCAGGATGACAAAAGTGGTAATTACACAGTTAGAAGCGCATATAGAAAGCTTTTTTCTGCTTCTGTGAATTGCAATGCAGGCCATGATATGCTGCTTTTTTTTAAATAAAATGTGGGCTTTGAAGGTCCCTCCTAAGGTCAAAATCTAATATGGCACCTCTGTAATGAATGTGTCCCTGTCAGAGCTCGACTTATTCAAAGGGGTATGGATGTGAATGGTGCTTGCCCAATCTGTGCACGGGGTGTAGAGACGTTTTTTCATGCTTTCATAGTCTGTGGCTTTGCTAAATCTTGTTAGGATCTCATTTCTGCCCGGGTGTTAGATATCTACGAGATTCTTCAGTCTAATTCTATTGCAGTGTGGTTGGTTAACGTTTTTATGGTCTACGGTGATTCTGATATAGGGATGGCCGGTTCATTGAACCGCCCGTTCAAAATTTTTGAATGTTGAATCTGAACCGATTCTTGAACTGCCGATTTTGGTCCGGTTTCAATTCTGGCATGTTCCGGTGCGGTTTGGATGAACCGACGGTTCCTATCACGTTTTCCGGTGATATATGTTTTTTTTTTTTAAATCAGTTCTAATGTTACATTTTTCTTTCAAAAATTTTAATATGAGTTTGAAAAATATTGGTAAATTTTATTTTAAATAAATTTTGGATGAACCGACGGTTACCTACACGTTCCGGTTGATATAATGTTTTTTTTTTTTTAAATCAGTTCTAATGTTACATTTTTCTTTTTCAAAAATTTTAATATGAGTTTTGAAAAAATTATTGGGTAAATTTATTTTAAATAAATTTTAGAATGTTCATACTCCATATAAGAATAAAATTAATTAATTTACAAATAATCAAATATTATCACTTTATTTTGTTTAAATGTTATTAATTAATAAATTATAAGAAAATTTTGAAAAAAAAATGCTTTCAAAAGAATATAATTTTTTAAATTTAGGTAAACAATTTTTAAAAGGGTAAAAAAAGTTTAAAAACAATATAAGTTTAGGACTAAAATATTTCTTATTTTTTTTTTTTTTAACAATTTTTACTTCTTAGATTTTTTAAATAAATTATAAGAAAATTTTGAAAAAATGCTTCAAAAGAATATAATTTTAAATTTAGTAAACAATTTAAAAGGGTAAAAAAAAGTTAAAAACAATATAAGTTTAGACTAAATATTTCTATTTTTTTTTTAACAATTTTACTTCTTAGATTTTTAACTTTTAAAGTAAAGTGTATTTAAAAAAAAATCATGTAGAAAAATATTATTGAGACTTTTAGAGATGAATAAAATAGGCTAAATGATTATCATTTTGAAAATAAAAGTAAAAAATTTTCGGTTCGAACCGGACTGGAACTGCCGGTTCAAGGCCGATTCAGATTTAGATTTTAACATTTACATGAATCTTAACCGGCCATTGAACCGCCATTTCCTGTTCATCTACGGTACGGTTCAGTTCCGGTTCAAAATGAACCCGTGGCCATGCCTAATCTGATATGGAACAGGTGTGTATGCCAATATGGGTATATGGAATCACCTAACTCAGTGTTATGGAACAATTCTGATAAACTTGATGTGTTTTTATTATCACAAGCTACCAGCTGGTTACGTGATTGGTAACTGGCGCAACAAAAGATCACTATTCCTTCTTGTAATCATGGGTCCCATCCTGCTAAGTGGACCAAACCTTCGGCCACGTTCTTAAAATGCAATACAGATGAAGTTGTGCATCCTTCTTCTCCGGCTGTTGGCGTTGGCTGGGTATTGCGAAACGACTAGGGAGGTTTCCTCAAAGCTTATCAACTGTCGTTATTTGGTGGCTATGATCCAAAGATTGCTGAGGCTTTAAGTTGGGTCAAGCGAAATGGCTATGAAAGGATTGTGTTTGAAACAGATTCCCTACAACTAGTTCAAGCTATGCAACGCAGTCATGATGATCTTTCTTACCTTGGTTGCTTGGTTTTAGATTGTAAAGCTCTGCTTAAAGAAATTCAATTTAGTTCAATCTCTTTTGTTCAACGGTCACCGAATATGGTTTCTTATCTTTTTGCTTATTCCATGTCTGATTTGAAAGAGCGAAGTCATGTCCCTCCTCTTATTATTATTGATTCTTTGTTAGATGATTTACGTTAATGAAATCTGCAGGTTTACCTTACATAAAAAACATAAAAATACATAAAATTCAAAAATATTAGACAATTAGCACTAAAACTTGGGTGAAATGATGAATTAAAATAGTCTTTTGGCAATCTTTTAATTAAAATTCATATGAATGGTTGCTAAAATTCTATTATTTTAAATTAAAAAATTAAATCATTTTGAAAGAAATAAAAATCATGTAGAAAAATGCAGAAAATTTTAGATAAACTATGTCCACTACAACCGTTCAATAATCCTATCAGCAGCTGAAATAATTTTCACTTTAAATCAAGAACAATTTCCTATCAAACTTATTTCAGTGTTAACAATAAAAATAGGTTAGCGCGTTAAGTGATCGACAAATAAAAAGAATATTGTACAAAATAATAATACTGAGTGTTTGTTAATAAATATAAATAAAAAAAATAAAGTGCAACATCGCTCTTTATAAAGTAAACCTAGAACCAGTGTTACAAAAAAAAAATAAAAAATAAAAAAGGGAAAAGAGAACAAAACCCAGAGCCTGGTGTATACTTTTGAATGCGGTTTTTACCAGATTGGCAAGCACAGCCACAATTTGATTCTGAAGGGTCAGAAATAATCTAGAGCTTGCACATACTGTGAAGCAAGAATATGACAGTAATATTTCATAGTATATATTGTTTTCCAATTAATCCTGTCGAGGCAGCATGCATTTGGCTGCAACCTATCGGTTAAATGCTGGACAGAGCATCACATAATGATTTGTATGCATTAACACAGAGTTTGAATTTTTCTTCAGCCATTGCCTGCACATATGCATAGAAAACCAAACCGTTAAAGAAATTAAATCCTTTAGTTTAATGCATGCACGTAGGAACAGAAAAAGCACATTCATTGAGAGTAAGAGCCCTTGATATCTAATATACAGTAACAAGTACACCAGAGAAGATAATCTCTCCCCTTGCCGTCTTTCTCACTTATATTGACATACATCCGCAGAAAAAAAGTTCAATTTGGTGATAGATCATTTTAAATTGGCTCATTTCGTGTAATATCTTATTTAAATCAGAATTCAACTCAGTATTGGAAAATGAGATATATCAACCAACAGTGGTAGAACTACCAACACTGCTGTCAACATTGAGAACTCGCTATGGTTTAACAATCATCCGAAAGTGGCAAAATGAGGATACAATGAGAGAACCAGAAAAACCACAGTAATAGATGGTATGTCTTGATCAGAGAGACCAAGCCAAAAGGAGGAATATAATTTTTGAAAAGACGAAATAAGAAATTCATGCAATTGAAAGAAGATTGGTAACCTGTGAAGGGCCTTGATGTTTGTCAGGATGCCACTTTAATGCTGACAGGCGAAAACTGCAAGGTTCATTTAATAATTTCAGATTATTAAAAAAAAGAGTATAAAAAAGAGAGCTTGTTGTGATCACAACGTCATATTCTTATAATTTAAGACAAAGCGCACTTACGCATTTTTAACGTCTTCAATCCTTAAGGGACCACTTGGAGGCAAACCAAGCATTACTCTGTCATCACTTGATCCTACAGAGCAGCACTCACTATCGGACTCAGTTTCACTTCCCACATCCGACTCTTCATCTCTATGTTTTGTCCAGTTTGGCTGTTCTCTCCACTCAAAGCCAGATGTTGAACCTTGGAAAGTAGACTTGTGAAAAGACCAGGTGTACCATCTGTTTCCAAATGTTGCATTAAACACTGTTTCAGGACCATCAGAGTCCTCACAGAAACCCTCTCTTCTAATCTTACCTGATGATTCAATGAAAGGAAGCCACCCAGTTTGTCAAGATACAAATGCAGGTAACTGGTAAATTCCCATACCCAACAAACAAATACAGTAGATTACTAAATTATTAGTTTCGTTCGACTCTCATTATTTTGATTTTTGACAACTCTATTTATACTTGATACCTAAAGTGATCAGTATAAAAGATACGAGGCTGATCACCTGAATGGTTGACTTCATGAAAATATAAATTGGGTGATATAGTAATATTTAATGGTTTTAACTCTGCAATTGAACTTAAATTGCATATCATGCTTACTCAATTATCTTTTCATAGAAAAACAAAGCAAAATATATGAATAAACCCTATAGAAATTGAATTCAAAGATCCAGTAAAGAAACTGAAAGAGAAGAAAGCAAAATACTAAGAGACCTTCAAGTTGCTCTAATTGGTAAAGGTGACGTCTTCAAGAAGTTATCGAGCAAGAATAGCATCATGAAGAACAGGAAGAAAAATTTGATCAATCAAATATTTGACTGGTTAGACACCAAAGAAAATGTGATGCTAATATTTAGTTTGATACGAAGTGACTATGTTTCCTAGACTGGAGGGTTTTCTTTGGCTGTTAATGAAGGAAACTTGAGTGTTTCTATTTGTTTAGGAAGCACAGATGCCTATATTCTTCTTCTTTAACAATGGTATATTTGTTTTTATTTAAACATTGTACTTAAAGATGCAAAGTACGTGGCAAAAGGATACTGGAGTCTTTGGTGCAGGATGCAACTCTAAGAGAGATCAGGAAAAAGAAAATTGAAACTCAAAGATTCTTAACAAACTCAAGAAAACAGGATTGGTAAGATTTAGTAACCTTCAAAGTGTTGATCTAAATTTAACAATAGTAATCTTCAAAGTGTCCACCTAAATTTAACAATCCAACCACCAAGAAAAGAACACAAACTCACAAGGGAAACAGATATAGACTTCACAAGGAGAACAATTGTTTAAGAAAAGAGAAACAGAAATAGAGCAGAAAAAGAATAAGAAAAACTAAATAAGTAAAACACACAAACAGAACAGCCAAGGGGAGGGAAAGAAAAACAAAGAAGATTAGAAAAAAGATTGGAGGAGAGATATTTGAGGTGCATCAGGAACTGAGAAACCCAAAGGTGATGGTCTGGCAAGATTTTACCACCAGAGGGGGAGAATTTACACTGGCTCACTGGTGGTATTAATGTCTGATTCTGATACAGAAGTAAATTGCAAGTCTGCTGGTACTGGCTTTTCTGGAGAAGACTTCTGATTTGAACCTTTCTCGGGCCTTCCACCTAGAAGGAGCACTTCTAAGCCAAAAAGCATGTATCTATTAGCAGTCGTCCACCTTTCCCTTACGGAGGTGCTGGGGTCAGCGCCAGGAGCCCAGAGCACACCTTAGCAACTAGATGATTGTATTTAAATCATAGGTCATTATTAAGGCACTCATAGTGCATTTTTAAATAGATTTTTTCTACAATGAACCTATGGCTACGTATTCATAAAAAAGCAACCACAGTTGCAGCAACACTTGCCTTTGATTCATATAATCAAATATGTGATGAAAGAAGTAGTTCACATTTATTATTAGTTATTACCCACCATTCTTCTCTCTATTTGAGTTTACTACTGATAATGTTAGGTCAACTAACAAATTACATTTTGATTATATAACCAAGTTAAGGAACTAAAATAGTACAATGTGGATAGCAAACTAAAATACTACAATGTGGATGGCAAACTAAAATACTATATGCCAAGTTAAGAACCCAGCTGTTTCGGCATCCTGATTGCTTTCCTGCTTCAGTCCTACCTGTCTTTCTTCTTTTGCGTTTATCTCATAAAAATCAAGACAAAAAATTTTACTAATCTTGAGAAAAAATTACCTCACTCTTCATTGCTTTCTCGATGCCCAAACATCAACCCAAGTTACTTTCCTCCAAGCCTTACTCTCAATGCTTATCATACAAATATGCAACCAAGTTTTCAACCACTACAACACAGACCACTGAATAAATTGTCCTCGAACTTCTCTAGTGGCATGATCCATGCTGGGTATTTGTGTGAGGGCATTCAGGTGTAGGAGTGTGTGGCAATTTTTTGTGGACGTGAACTTCAAGATATTTGAGTTTTGAGTGATGCAGAGACTTGTGTTGGTGAGACCAAAATCAAATGCTAGATAAGGTCAGCTCCTTTGTTTTTAATATTGTTGAGGATGGGATTGTTTTAGAGCTCCTCCATGGGATTGTTTAATACAATTACAATTAAAAAATCTCTCTCTTCTTATGTTTACTTATGCTAACCCTATAAGCATAAGGACGAACTCTTGAAGTCAATGTTCAAGATTTGAGAGGCCAAATACATAAATTCATCCTTGTACTTTTTGTGAAAACTTCTGCAGCACCTTGAACTTTGCAGAGACCTATTGTGCCCCCTAAAGTTATGAGTTCTAGTAACTTCAGATACTTCTCCATACTAGCAATAATAGTTATTATAGTTTTTTTTTTTCTTTTATATGTAAAATATTGATTTGATGTGTGGTTAGTACAACTTTTGAAATAATAATTTTAAATTTTTTAAACTTTCCAATTAGAGTTCAATTAATCTAATTTTACAAGTTTGAGCATTCAATAGAATGATTTTGCAAGTTGCAATATTATAAATTGAAGTGTCCAATAAGTCAAAGTAATAGTTGAAAATCTCATAAGGTTTTCGCACAAAGCACATGGGTGAAGTTATGTGTTTGGCCAGATTTTGAATTTACTTGATGCTTTTCTGCTATCATTCACGATTTGAGGGAGACGATAGAGGGGAGATGGGGTTTAAAAGCGGACAATCAGATTGTAAATAACAATGACGTCTCTTTTAGTTTCATTAGTCTCTTAGAGCTGTTGTTGGCCCAAAAAACTTGGCCCAAAAATCTTACTCAGCAATTATGTCCATGTCACCCCTCTAGCACAAGCCAAATTAACCCAAGTTACCAATTGGATAGAATTGAAACAAATTAACAAAGTTTTTAATTGATTAGATTGAAAGGATAGGATTGAAAAAATGTGCAAATTTTGGAATTCATGAGATAATCAGGCCTTATGACAGTTGTCATCTTCTATTACTATAACCTAATGAATGATGATATGGCCACCAAAGTACTCTGACTGGTTATCCGAATCATTTAAAGCCCACAATTTTAGATGTGCAAAAAAATAAAGCAATAGAAGAATAAATAAGAACATAAACAAACCTCAAGCCCTCATTTTATCTTGTATTCTTCTCAAGCATGAAAGCCAATTATTCACGTGGCAGTACCAAGAGTTTCATCATTTTTCTCTATTAGGGCTATATTTTAATTTTTGGATTTAGGAAGTGAAAGTTATAATAATTCACAATGGAATCAACAAATTCCACTTTTATATATATAAGCCAAAGTTGTAAGACCTAGAAAGAGGGAGACGTTGAGCACTATATCAAATGGATGACATTTTGCATGAAAATGAATAAAGGTAAAGAGGATAGATTTAAATGGTTAAGGAAATTAATTAAATAAACCCAGAGTAGAAGAAAAGAAAAATGCTCACGTTTCTTTTTCTTGACATCAGATTTCCTAGAATATTGAGCAGAAGACTTTGCATGCCTACTGTTACCAGTACCACGGAAATTCTCTGGATCAAATCTTGGACTTTCATCCTAGGCACAAGTAAAAAACAATGTTTATATCAGTAACTAGATAAACTAGAACTTTCAGCCAAACACAAGTGGAGCAATCTAAATGATGAGGCACATGCATCTCTCTTGGAAAAAAGGTAACACAAAAAATAGATATATGTGCATTGGACCTTACACATCCCTGGTAATGAACATGGTTGATAAAATTCTATGGCGTTGTCTTTTTCTCCTTTTTTTTACCAATCCCTTGAAATTGTATATGCTAGATCATCTATTGTTAGAATGACAAATTCTCAATTTGAACACCTTCTTCTCAAAAAAAAAAAAAAAAACACTTTGATTGCCTACTTGTAGATTCAAATCTATATCAAGAATTGCAAGTTACAATGAATAGACCTTGAATCAATAGAATCATCTGAAAATTGGTTGAATTGATCAAACTGATCGATTCCATCTGTTTCATTCTCGTGCTTAGTCAGACTTGACTAGCTTAAGTCTCAAACTAACCCTTTTCTCCCTATTATCTTTTGAGCAGAACCTAATGAACCTCCTTGAGATTTCAATTTGAAATTTAGATAACAATTTTTCCATCTAATAATATTTGCCTATAGCAAATATTCTGAAGAAAACCTGTTTCTTTTCGAGAAAACGTTAGCTTTCTATTGTTTGGTTGCATGCTAAAAGTCAGTTAGACATTATTTTCTAGCATTTTTAGAATAATAGAAAATACTCATTTCCTTGCAATAGTAGAGAAGAAAAGTATGAAAAAATGTTGAACCTAAAAGAACTTAATTTTTTTTCTTTTTATACTTGAATGTGAGGAAATTATAGGAAAAAAGGGCAAATAGTAATTGGTCAAAGGTGATCACCCAACAGCATGGCAATAGACTAATATGCATATGCCAATGTTATGACATTCCATAAAATGATTTCCTATTTGAGTTAGAAATGACTTGGTATTTCCTTTGATCAAAAAAGCATTTCCCATTGATAAGTGATCTCCACTTTTTCCTTTTCGCATTTTTTATCTCTTTGGAAGTTGTCTTCTCTTCCTAAACGTAGCTGTGTGACAACTTGCATTTATCGACTATTTGACATGGAACATTGGTCAAAGATTACAGATCTACATATTTTAGAAAATAATTTATTCGGGGTCGTTTGGATATTTTATTTATTGAGGGTATTGTTTATATTTGACTTTATTATTAAGGTCAGGCTACTTTTCTATTCAAACAGTAACATTAAGAGTTCTTTTAACCTTAGTTTGTACTTGAATGATTAAGAATCAAATCAAACTTTCAGTTTCATTTAGGTTCTGTATGTGCTTCAATTTTCTTGCATGGTTCTACATCAATCATAAAGCCACCTGCTACTATTTTCTAGTGCTCTTTTTATTATATTTCTATATTTTTCTTATATCATCAACAACAATGGACTATAGTGGACTATGAAATAGAATGTTTATTCATCAAGCCTTGCTAAAAAATTCCAAAACCATAACTTTATTGGGCCAACGGTGGAAAAACTTAGAGAATTTTTCATTAATATTTAGAAACAAAAGTCTCAAATCTATGATTTGAAGCAAAAGAAGATAACTTTAAGAAACCCTTCAGTTCAAGTCTTGTTACCCAGTTAAAAGACCAAACATTTTAAATCTCAGAGACTTCTAATTATGAGAAATCTTAAAATCAAAGTGAATATCAAACCAAAAACCCAAAATTCAAGCACCAAGACATAGAGGGCCACCATAGAAAAAGACCTCACTGCTCTGGCCGATGGTATGAGCAGAGGTTTGGCTCATATGGGACTTTGTTCAAGGTGAGCTTGGAGCTTAGATTTCTTATGCTACTAAAGCAAGTCCAACAGCAGAGTTTTGTGGCTTTTGGGTTCCTTTTTACTCTTGCTTTACGTTGAGGCAATCTTTGAAACCAATAAACTTCTTCAAGAAGATGGAGGAGCAAGATAGATTACAGAAATCAACTCTTATCCTCAAAGTTGATAAAAGCTAGAATATTTTCTTTATTGGGGTTTGTCTTGTGTATGTGAGGAGTGATGTTAGTGAATGATAAAGAAAAGCATCTCCCAAGATTCAATTATATATAAATGGGCATTTTAGTACTTTCATGTCCATTTAATAGCAAAATCAAAGGATTTTCAACAGAAGGATTATTCAATTAAATGAATCAAATTTTGGGGACTCCTTAATTCTTTTTTCGAAAAGCAGGAACATACTGGTTAGTTAGGTCAAACCTCAAGGACGAAATAACAATTTATCCATTACAAAATTAGTATTCAGTTGTGACTCAATCCTCAATTGACAACTATGCCTAGCATGCTTTCAATGCTACTAGATCTCGAAGGCATGTCCAATCAAAAGAACTAAGTTAAAACCGACCTGTTTATACAAAATACCAAGCCTCCAGATAGATGTCGGCATGTCACATCCAACTACCAAAATAACTTCGCTCCTGTCAATGGCAACTTTCCTATTCAAGAATAGCAACTATAGTTCTATATTGACAGTTGTCTTCAACAATATAAGGATTAATCATGGCACAGTAAAAATGAAAATAGTGAACAAATTGATAACATAAAGTTCTTTTTGCTTCCAGTCAATAAGCAATCACTATTCTATTTAAGTTGTTTTCAACAGCTAGGCGTTGATATAAAAATGCTGTGGATCCTTTATTGTCAACTATACAGAGAGTATTCAAATAAGATATAAAACCAGAGAACAGTTAATTGAAACCTATTAACTGTAGCAATAAGATACCTTTATCATTCATGTAGGTGATGGCTATATAATTGCCCAGAGAGCAATTTAAGCAAGGCAGAAAGTAGCAATAATAGTGCAGGCACACAAATTATTTTTCTACACAGCAGAACATTATTGCATCAAGGCATTCTGAAATACCATTAAGGTTTTTTCCTTTTTTGGAATGGAATATAATTAAGGGTTTAGTTAAGACAGGCCAAAGTAAGGTTTACCTGGAATGAAGCTTTAGGGGATCCACTTTTGAAGAGAAGGTCTTTTAGTGCTCTCTTTGCATCAGCACGTTTTTGTCGCACTGCATATCTTATGGAATTCTGGATTTATGTTTCCAGTGTCAGGAAAGTTCATTTGAAGAGCAAATAAAAGAATATATAGAGAAGTAAGCTGATGGAGAAGTGAAAGGGAATATATACAAAATCCCTCAAAAGATTACATACACAATCAGGCTATGAATAAAAGGCCAATGTTGAATATTACAGAATAGAACTTGCAGAGTCTTTGATATTTTTAAAACTAAACATATAGATAAGAAGAGCTTATACCTTAGATTGTTGTGGGAATCTTCTTACATCCTGCAAAAATAGGATAATTGAAGGTCAATCTTCACATTAAGTAAAAAGCCATATGGTGTGCCCCAATAAGAACAAGGTAAAGCAATAATGATAAGTCTACCAGAACCATGCCTCTAAGGTAAAAAATAATTTTGCACCAGAATGGACTGCTTAAATAGTTCCATGTTTGTTGTATGAAATTAGAGCTTTGACATTGGAATATGAGGAAAGAAAAAAAGAAATCTGTCTTTTTCAAAATTAATTAAAAGATCCAAACCTAGCACGCATGATATCTATCTTTACTATATACAAATGTTGGAATGAGGACGAGTATCCTAAACCATCCGATTGAAATTTGAGATATCCTAAAATATCCTTTTATGTGACCAATTAAAAAATTTTAATTTGAAAAATATATATAATATTTGGTTATAGTTTAAAAGAATTTAATTAGGAGAGAGATAAAGAAAAGGAAAAAATATTTAAAATTTTTTAGCCCTATATTTGATTGTAGGTTAAAAGATTTCAAATGGCCAATTAAAAGAATATTATTTCTAAAAATATATATAATATATTGATAATAATTTCAAAGATATTAATTAGGAAAGTGATAAGGAAAAGGAAAAGAATATTTTTAAAGAATTTCATTAAATATATAATATTTGATTATAATTTAAAAGATTTTTACATGGCCAATAAAAACTTTAGTTTAAAAAATTATATACAATATTTAACTACAACTTAAAATATTTTTAATTAGATGAGTGATAAGGAAAATGAAAAAATTTTAAAAATTAAATTTGAAAAATATATAAGATTTTGTTGTAATTTAAAAGATATATATTTACATAAAGTTTTCAAATGTCAATTTAGCACACTCCTTTTTCAATATTCTATTTTCTCTTTTTTTTTATAAATTCAAAATTTATTTATTTATTTTTTTAGAATATTTGATTAGATGATTCATTTACCTGTTATATAATAATTAATTAATATACATATATTTACATATAATTATTAAAGATAATTATTAGATCATTAAAAAATCTCTCATATTATATTTTTCGTATCTATTTTCCCTTCCATCAAGTTTGAAATCCACAATCATAAATATATACATATAGGTAATCATATTTTTAGTTTTTACTTTTTTAAATTATTTTACTGGGTAAGAAATGAATTTATTATTGATTCTTAATGGCATTGAATTTTTTAGCGAAAACTTTTACATATATACGTAAATATATTGAAACATGTTTGTTAAGTAGTATTGCGGCATTACGTGTAGCTAAAGTGCATCTTTAATAAATGGTGATTTCTAGACTGAATTGAATTGTGTGTATATATAATATATTTTGACTATGGTTTTATTAATTAATTAGCTATCTCATTCATGTTAATCTCAATATAACATTATTTTTTATTATAAAAATCTAATGAATATAAAAAAATAACAACCAATACTTAATATTGTAAAAAAAATAATGGACAAGTATAAATAATGAGTAAAAAGCGAGTAATGACAACGTATTACGTATGCTATAGAAAAACTAGTATACAAGAAATGGACCAAAAGAATTAAGGAAAAAATTAAAGAAACAAATACTGATAACAGAAACAACAAAGACAGTAAATATAGGGATAGTGAATGCTGCGAACAAAGAAAAATATTTATAAAAGTTGGCAAATGAGAGTGAAAGGTAAGTGTTATCTCCAAAAGCAAATCAGCCAAATAGATGCCTTCGAAAGAAAACAAATCTCCAAGTTTTGAAAAACTAGATCATGTCACTACATCAAACAGAGACTATATGGCATGAAATGGTAACATAAAAGTGTCATGACCTTCTCTGCTAAACTTACATATCTAACTCTCAAGCAATTGTATACTGTTTAAAGCATCTCTCGATGCAATCCTGAAAAGGAAAAAGTAACTGCCATGACTTGCCACTAAATTGCACATAGCAGAAGACGGTCAATAGTTCCTGTGTCCTGCCGCAACATAATACCAATTTTTCCATATTCAGCTTTATCTTGATTAAGATAATATGCTGGAAGACTTTTATTCTAGGAATCAAATATGTTTTTGCAAATTCCAGATTTGGTGGAATGGGATTCGTTGATTTCTTTATGTTTCTTTGTGGCGGAGAACATCAATCCATTTACCTTTTCTATGACAAAACATGTAAATGGAAAATAGGTGAGAAAATGATAACAATTTGCCAACTAAGTTACAAAACCTAAATGGCTCCTGCTATCAATATCACGCTAATGAACTCAAAAACCAAAAATGCAACTAAAAAGAAGAAAGAGGGTCACCTTGTTATCTGCTCAGCAGGTACAGCTAGAGAAATCTAGTTAAAATAAAGCTCTTCACAAACTCCTCCTCTTAACTCATCTTCCCAACATACAATGAAAAATGCCGAGTCTCATGATCATATGCTTTATCTATGTCTAGTTTGCAATTAACACCCAGTGCCTCCCAACCCATTAGCTTATAAGCAATTAGAACAACATCCAGAACCATATGAAAGTAGAAAAAAGAATTTGCCTCCCACATTGAAAAATATTGCAATGACAGAGGTACAACAGTAGCATGAACACACTTCAAACCATTTCCAAAGATATAATATTTAATAGAAGTAACAAGAAAATAAGTGAATGACTGTTAAACTACCAGTTCCCACACTAATTTATAAGGTAAATTTTAAGACACATCTGCAGAGAAGACACCAATGAAGTAACCATCCAAATATGAGAGTTAATTGGTCAATCATTTCAGTTGTGAATCGTGAATGTGAATAAAATTGCAACCCGGAGTTTCCCTTCTCACCAATGAAGGTCCCATCATCGTTTCTGCAGCATGGTTCCATTAAAGCTAGAAACATTAGCTTTCTCCTCAATAAATGAAGAATGGAGGACTTTTCAAATGACGAGTCAGGATCTTATTACACCTAGTCAAAGTAACAAATAAGTAAGAGTTCCACACCTTTCTTTCCAACCAAAGATGCAAGTACTGGCTCAGTGACTGTTGGAAAGAGCCATTTAATCCCATTGATAACTCTTGAGTGTTTCCACAATTACACTTCTAAGCACACAGTTCAACATTAATCAAGTCCATAATGCAATCTATCGTCTATTTCAGCAAAATGACTTCACAAGCTTGATTCAAAAACAAATACCGATGCCTAAATACTCTTATGCTACAATCAACAAACAGATCTTACACAATTTATAGGATTGCTTCAAGTGACAGTACTCAACACCAATCTCTATATGGTTACTCTGTTCCTTAATCATATGCATTCTACATTTATGATTTTTTCCTCCATAGACTTTCTGTTTCCTCATATTTCAACTAATTCTGAAATTTAGAATGGAAAGGCTCGCAGCTTCGAGAGCAGAACCAGAATGGCAATAATGGAATATTCTAAGACAACCTAGTATCCAAAAAAGTTCAAGGGATTGCCTAACAGAGACAAGAAGAGCTCTTCCAGAAAAAGCAAATGAGGGTCAATCAATGCTACTCAGCTGAATATCACGGTTGATGAGAAGGCAACACAATAACCAACAAACTAAATACAAAATTGCAACCTTGAAATATCAAAATGAAACAAAACAACCAACGTATTCCACGTGCACTAAGACAAGAAAAGTTTAAAACCTCATCATCTCAACAATATGAAAATTGGTACCTTCTGTCATCATCAATCATCAAGCTAACAATTAACCAAGAAATTCATATCTTAAAAATCAAAACATATAAAATTGCCTAAATGCACCAAAAAGAAAAAACAAATGAAGAGAGAATAAACTCACAGCGCTCGATTTATTCTTCCATTTTTCATCTGTCGAGGGCGTAGAATGAATTGAAGCAAGATAGGTATTTGTTATTGATGTTGTTGACGGTGAAAACGTTGGAATCAAAGTGTTGCTGAATAAAACAACGTTTCGCCATCTGGGTATTTGCATAATCGAATAAAAGAAGCGAACTATTTATAATAAACAAACAGTTCCCTCTATATTTGTGTCTGTAGCTAGGATTTGGTTATAGTTAAGTCGAGAAAAGTGCTGCTTTTGTGATACAAAATGGAAATTGAAAGTTGATTTCCTTGAACAGACGATAGCGACCCACGAAGACGACACTGTCAGCGTATATTCGTTTCTCGATCTTGGCGGTGAGCGAGGTCCAAGATGTCTCTTGGTCTATTCCCAATAATGATTTGGGCTGTACAATCTCTAGCTCTTGGACCTCGCTTCGCGTACGAAACTGGAATCGTTCCTTCTGAATCAAATTGATCCAAATCAAATAAGGACTTCTTTTTTAATTTATAGAGAGGCCCAATTTTAGGTTAAACAATGAGAAGCAGCTCCCCTTCGCATTCCAAATAACCCAAATTTACCTTTATATTTTACATAAAAGATGTTATACCACCATCAATTTTTATGTTGAATTATTAAATATTTTAATTTATAAAACTATATTTATTAAATATTTCAATCAGAAAAATTATTCTATTAAATACTCAAATTTATAAATTATGTCAATTAAATATTTATTGGCTAGTTGAAAAATGTGAAAATTATTTTTCTAAAGATTGTACTAAGCATATATCATATTCTACTCCAAAGAATAGTAAGAAGATTGACCAAATCACATCTCATTAGTTAAATAAGGACTTTTTCAAAAATGACAATACCATTAAAATTTTTGTGTCAAACTTTTTAATGTGAATTATCATTCAGTCTTTTTATTTTTTATTTATAATTTATATCTATAACATATAAAAGTAGGAATGGGGAAGGACAACTGAAATGACCCGAAATTATTTTTTTAAAGCTTTTTCATTTAAAAATTTAAATAATAATTTTTTTTGCCAATAGTATTAAGGACCTATTTATATTTAAATATACATAAATTAATGCCTTATAATTTATTTAATAGAAATTTAATACAATTATAATTTTATTTGTTAAATCAAACCTATTACTAAAATTAAAACCATTAGAAAAACCAATTGGGAACCTATAAACCAAAGGGAAACCAAGCAAAAAAAAAAAAAATCAAGAATTGAGCTAGATTAGACCTAAAATCGAACCAAACCAGCCCATTAACCAATTGGAAATTTCTAGAAATGCAAAAATTTCCATTTTGTCCTAACCTCCCTTTTCCCCTTCCCGTTAGCGCCGACCCCATCCCCTTTCTCCCTCCACTTTCAATTTTTCGTTCACCAACTAATACCACTGCCTCCTACCATTGCCGCCTTTCTTTCTCTCTCTCTCCATTTCCGTTTCTAGTAAACACAAGGATCACAGACGAAGCTGCGACTTCATCCCGATCAAGACAATCGCATCTCAATCGTTCCTTTCATTTTTCAGCAACTCCAACTTCCTTCTCTTGGCAGCGCCGCTCGGTTTCTCTCTCTCTCTCCCTTCCTATTCCCGTTGGCACAGCAGTCGGGTGAAGCTGCATGTGGTTTTTAATCGGGTCAATTGCAACCTAGCTCTCTTTTCTCGCTTTTCCCGCAAGATCAGCCAACAACCGATGAAACCGGCTCTTCTGTCGTCACCAGCTCCTCATGTATGTCGTTCTTCCCTACTCCGACCATGCTACCACCAACAAAACTGAATTTTGAGTGTTAGAGCTGCTGTTGATCGTTTTACTGGAAAGTGCAATTTTCGACGCATATTGTAGCTAGGTAAATTAATTTTTCACCTTTTTCAGTTTATTTTGTGAATTCTTGGTACACGATGATTAAGGGGTTTTGATGCATAAAACAAGATTAATGTTGAGATGAAAATTCATAGCCATCGTTTATGAAAGTTAACTTAGGAATTTTGATAAATATTGTTAAAGGGAGCTATAAACTAAGTCTTAGATAAATTAAGTAGGATATATATGTCATATATGTGAAAATATTGATGAAATGGTGATCCTTACTACCTATTTGGCATATAAATCAAATTATTGTATGAAAGAAATTAGATTATTTACTTATATATTGTAATTTTTATAAAGAAATTTAGGAATTCTATGTGCGGCAGCTGCTGCGAGATTAGCATCGATTGTACGCTTATTTTTCTAAATGTGAATTTTGTTTGGAAAGCATGAATTTTTTTAGGTCATATGGTATCCAAGGATGAAATCATGGTTGACTCTAAAAATGTTAAAGCAGTTATCGATTGGCCTGGACCGATTACAGTCACAGAAGTTCGTAGTTTTCTGGGTTTAGCTGGCCATTATTGTCGCTTTGTACAAGACTTTTCTAGGATAATAGTTCCATTAACAAGACTAACCCAGAAGAATGCCAAGTTCATATGGTCTGATTCTTCGGAAGCGAGTTTTCAGAGGCTCAAAGAGTGTTTGATCATCGCTTCGATGTTAGCCTTACCGTCAAGCAATTAAGGGTTTACTATGTTTTGTGATGCATTCAAAGCGAGGTTGGGTTGGGTCTTGATGCAGCATGGTCAGGTTATTGCATATGCTTTTGGGAGTTGAAGGAGCATGAGCAAAACTATCCCACTCATGATTTGGAAATGGCAACCATCATTTTTACATTAAAGATATGGAGACATTATTTATATGGTGTGTCATATGAGATCATTACTGATCATAAAAGCTTGAAGTATATTTTTTATCAAAGAGATCTAAATTTGAGACAAAAACGTTGGATGGAGTTTCTTAAGGATTATGATTGTACCATTCAATATCACACTAGAAAAGCTAATGTGGTTGTGAATACTCAAATTTTGACCTTGCTACAGTAAATTTGACTTTTCTACAGTAACTTTGACTTTTCTACAGTGTCAATGCCGGATCAATGCCGGACTGCAAACATCCGGGCCGGACCGAAGGCCATTTTGAAAGTTCACCGAAAAAAATATGTCAATATAAACGGTATACTTTGCAAACGTCCCGAAGCACTCTCACGAGGTATCGCAGAACGCTCCCCGCACACTCGATTTTGTAGCTCACACGCTATAGACTGACACACACACTTAAAACGTCTCCACTCTGGAGCGAGACAATGGTGGCTCACCAGCTACCCAGGCAATTCAAAGCCTGCAGCCCCCACCGCCTCTGGCCGGCAGGCAAGACCGTCCCAGCCATGGGCGCAGCCTGCGCCCCATGAACTGGCGGCACCTGTAACTCGCCCTAGTCTTGAGGCGAGCTAGCGTGCCCGCCTGTATTTGAAGCCAAGCTATAGATTCAATTACCCCTCACAAGTGCCAACCCAGATCAAAAAACCTATAAATAGACCGGATTTTCAGGCCTATTTTGAACTCAGGGCGTCTTTACTGCGGTGTTGGACGGCGTGAAACGAAAACTCCTCCCTCCCATCTCAACGCTCTCTTTTGCGATCCTTACTTTACGCTTCTCTGAGCAATAGTTAATTAATTTTCATTGCTTTTATTATGATTATTTGACCTTACTGATAATTAAAAAATTAAAAAATTAATTAATATACCTAAACGAACGAGGAAGCATAAATTGGTGAGATTTTTTCACGAAAGTGGTCTAACGTTATTAAGTTTGGTTAATCGTAAACGGTAGGCTGTAAAAACTCAGTAGTATATCGCAAAACTTCTTTTGGTCCATATTAAATATAAGCAACTCTCACAATGCATATTTTCTTTCTCTAGCTCTGTAATAATTCATCAAGTTGCATAAATGCATTTCTACCCGTCATTCATTTAGCACAAATTAACTACTGTCCTTAATGTAACACAATTAAGCCTTAAGATGTCCGGCTAATTAATAACGCGTGGTATGATAAATGTCTTAAGAAATTTTCAGACTAATAAGTTGTGATAAAAGAAGCCTTCTTAATTTTAATGATATCTCTACGCGGTGTCGAGTTGACTATTAATTTAGAACAAAATCCGTGCTTAAGTCCAACTCTAATCAAATAATTGTGGACCACTAAAAGCATTAAATCAAATCACAGCTATTCGAACAATAAAAATTTTGTGGATTAAGATCCGAATCCGCTAACCCGATTAATTAGACATAATACGTGGCTCATTCTAATATCTAAGCTCCTAGATCGCCTACATTTATCTAGGCGAACATTTACGACCTTTAAAACGAAACAATTATTTGGCCAAGCAAGGCGTGTAAAATCTATACTCGTATTTAGTCTGGCCATTCTAAATTAAGAATCAATCTTATTATGGACGCATCAAGCCTTGTGAAATCAACCAATTATTTGTCACGCAAAAAATTGCCCTGAAATCCTAAATCATTTTGGCAAAAGTGATCATTTTTAAAAATCCAAACATTTGTGGCTACCCTGTGCAATTGCCACCTAAATCAATAGTCCATTATTGGGTGTCTAAGATAGACACACTTTACAATCAATCATTATATATGGTATTGGCAAACATGCCTTAAAAATCAATCATCATTATTTATTTTTGGTAAATATGCGCGCTAAGACAACATGCACAAAGCAACTACAGCGAGCTTATGCCACCATAAGCATGCATCCCACACTTAATAAACAATTAGACCATAACACCCATGCACTCATGTCATCAGTAAATTTGATTACATCAACTGTCATAGCACAACAAGACATACACACACAATCATTGAGCATCTAATCTATAACAGCATACCTCTACTTCGAGTGTCTCATTAATCTGGAACACAGACTCAGAATCTATACCACACCTGAAACTTCCGATCTCCATGTGCTCCACCATATTAGCGATACACCACTCTCATACTTGCTAACTCTTTGTTCTAGTGTTTCAGCACTACTCATTTGCCTATGTATTCACACAGATCATATCTGTGTCTAACTATATTTTAGCAATAAAACATACTTCACATTTACTACTATCTCGATGCACTTACAAGTTCATACATCAACTTCATTGCATTAAAGCATACACCATTCAAATATTCGCTTCATACGAAGCCCTATCGAGACACGTTGGACTGTTTATGTCATTTTCTAACGGTTATTCGTCACGTAACGGCACCCGTCTTTCCGGTGAATTTCACCCCGAGTGGCAAGTCAAAAAGTCACCATAACATTTCATTTGCGTCCAACTCGCTATACATCATATTCACTCTCCGTGTGTCGATTAATTCCATTTCAATTCTTAATATATGCTCAGTGTTACTGTCTAAATTATTCTTTTTTAATCATGCTATAGTCTGGCTATAACAATACTCCGGGTTCGTAGATGTTAGATAGTTGAGCCCGTTTAATCCATTTGTGATACATTAATCTAGTAACTAGGTTAATTATAAAATGGATCAATTTAGGGTTTTCTAGCGCTTTACCCTAAAATAATTAAACCACAGGTTTGGTTGCACTGTACACACTTCACGTGGCAGATTTCTTTCCTCATACAAATAAACTGTACATGTGCCTATATTTGTGTTTGGTTCGTGGCTGGGGACAGGGGTATAACACTAGTGGCTAGAGCTCAATAGCATCTAATAAGTCTCAGAACAATTCTTGGGAAGGCTTAAGAGTTCACATAATTTTAAAGTGAAAAGATGGTCGGTTTCGTTAATTTAGCGTAATTGGTCTACAAGACCTGCACAATATCGACAATTCTATAGGACTATAAATTTTGATCAAATGTAATCTGTACTTACTGTATTTAGAATTTAAAACCAAAATAGTTGATTTGATCAGAAATTCAAGAAAACTTGCGAGCAAACGTAGAGACCCCAATTTAGAGAATTTATAAATTTGATAAAGAAAGTAAGATTACTAGAGATGAGGGCTCCGATCGGAATGTCCTCTTATCGTGTGTGACCGATGATGTCGTGGTACTAAGAAATGGTACTTCATCTAGGTGAAATGATGTTGATTAATTTTAAGGAGTAGATTATTTAGATGAAGCCCTAACCACACTTACTACCTTATAACGTGTATCCAGAAATAATGGTACTATCATAAAAATAGTCATGACTAATCACGCACGATTGACTAAGATAATCTATTCGCTGCGGAGTGTGCATTAAGATAATTAAACAAGGTGGCGACTTACACACTCACGTGCATTTCTTCTCATTCATCATATGCATCACATGCCTATGTGTTTTCGGGGGGAGGGGTTCACAGTGGTGGCCAATGCTCTAAGTCGAAAATCTTTGGGAAGCTTAAGTCATATTTTAGTGAAAAGGAGATCGTTAATTTAGGAATTGGATGAAATGCTTGATGAAGGTCTTAGACTAGAAATTTTGACTTCAGATTGTCTATTAGCTTATTTTAGAATTAAACCAATGTTGTTTGATAGAATCAAAGCTGCACAAAGTAGAGACCCACAATTTTAGAGAATTATATAAGAAGTAGCTACTAGTGGGTCGAGGAACTTTGTGATGGACGATGATGGGGTACTCAGAAATGGTACTCATCTAGGTGAAACTGATGTTGATAATCTTAGGAAGGAGATTTTAGATGAAGCCCAATATACCGCTTATAATGTGTATCCAGGTACTACTAAAATGTATCGCGATTTGAAAGATAATTATTGGTGGGTTGAGATAAAGAAAGATGTAACAAAATTTGTGTCCAGATGTCTTACTTGTCAACAAGTAAAAGTAGAGCATCAAAGACCTTCTGAGTTGTGTCGACGGTTACCGATATCGGAATGAAAATGGAAAGAATTACCATGGACTTTGTGATAGGATTACCGAAAACACCAGAAGGTTATGATTCAATTTGGTTGATAGTGGATTGACTCACCAAGACGACTCATTTTCTGCCAATAAGATCCTCCTATAATGTAAACAAGTTGGCAAAGTTGTACATCAAAGAGATAATACGTCTTCATGGGATTCCGGTTTCCATCATTTCTGACAAAGGAACACAGTTCACTTATAGATTCTGGCAGTCATTTCAGAAAGCTTTGGGAACCCGAATTGACTTTAGTGCGACCTTCCATCCACAGACTGATGGACAATCTAAAAGAACTATTCAAACTTTGGAGGACATGCTTCGGATGTGCATACTGAATTTTGGAAGACATTGGGATTTGGACTTGCCATTAATTGAATTTTCTTATAATAATAGTTATCAAGCTAGCATAAGCATGGCACCTTATGAGGCTCTATGTGGTAGGAAGTGCAGATCTCCTATTTATTGGGAGGAAGTAGGAGATAGACAATTGGTGGGACCCGAATTAATTCAAGTCACATCTGAGAGGATACCTATCATTCGAGACAGGATCAAAATAGCTTTTGATAAATAGAACATCTATGAGGACCTTAAACATAAATAAGTGTCATTTTAGGAGGGTGATCTAGTCTTTCTTAAGGTATCTCCTATGAAAGGTGTTCGTCGTTTTTGGCAAGAAAGGGAAGTTAGCTCCTAGATATATTATACCTTACCCAATAATTGCAAGGATTAGGGAAGTAGCTTACCAGTTGGACTTGCCTGATGAGTTTTCTCATGTCCATTACGTTTCCACATACCAATGCTGAGGAAGTACATTCCCGATCCATCTTATGTGTTAGAGCCACAGGAGGTCCAAGTGAGTGAAGATTTGACTTATGAAGAGGTACCAATTAGGATTCTCGACTTTTAGATTCGTAAACTTTGATCTAAAGAGATTCCTATGGTCAAAGTATTATGGAGAAATCATTCTATGGAGAAGTGCACATGGGAAGTGGCGGCTGATATGCAAGGGAAATATCC